CCCCCCCCCCCCCCCGCGAGGAGATGAGACATCACTGCTGCAGGATCAGGGCATCGACGCGTGACTAGCCCAGTAGAAACCTTTCCCCAGTCATCTCGAAATTTCACCCTGTCATCTCGAACGAAAGAAGAACAGAAACAAAGCATCATTGCTTTTCAGGTAGACTGTTTCCAGGCTAACGGTTTTTTGGAACCAAATCGTACCATTTTCGTTACATAATTAGCTTCGTCTTGAGCATCGCGGCATACTCTTATCTCATACATGCCTCCAAAAAAAACGCCTAATTTGCTAAAAATTGGCCCTTGGCGGTATTGTCACCGGCGCACAATAATCCACTCCGCAATGCAGTAAGCCACCGTTGTGCTTGCGTGCCTACAAAGTTGCTTGAAAAGCTCATTGCGGATGAGGTGAAGCTCGCACAGCGCACAACAGGCAGCAGTCCGATGAGTGTTCCCTCCATCATGACTATCACACAAGAGCCTTGACCAGCTTCACTCAAGCTATTAGACCCTCATTTAGCCGAGTGTACTGGTCCCAAACGCCCCGTAGTGACTCGCGCTTCGGGTCAAACCGAGCTAGAAGGCAAAGATGAGCATTCTTGCTTCAACTAGGACGCTCAGTTTGATTTCGCGAGCTCCAGCGGCAAGCTTGAGATGTTCAAGACCTCATCTCCGCAATACACAAAGGCGTAGTCAAGCACAGAGGCCTGCTTGCCAAAGACCACAGCTCAGTGCTATAGCTTCAGTCTGCTGTCTTTTGCGCAGCGGAGGAAGCTGGTCCCCGTATCTTTGCCCTCCTCAGCAACAGCGCAGTCTGACGACAACTACTCAATGACTTGCGCAAAAAGGGTCCACCAGCTCTGCCTCTTGAACGGCTGTTTCACAAGAGCAGGAGAAGCGCAACGTCTCGGAGAGAAATCTACACTCTGAAGCTTCTCTTGGTTGATAGCGTGCCTTTGCCTCTCTGCCATCTTGCTCTCAACCTCAGCTGTACAGTCTGCCACCATCCTGCTCAGCCCTGGGATGAAGTTGCTTAATTGGTGTTGTTTATGCTCCTTGACCAAATCTGCCACCTGTTCCACATTATCACAGTTGGATAGTAATCTCCAACAGGCAGTCAGTGCACGCCTTTGCATCTGCTCCAGAGTTGTCCTAACAGTCTTGGAGATGTCCTTGCGTGCCTGTCCAGCTCCTCTTGAAGAACCCAGTCATGGAGGGCCTGGTACTCAGGACTCATGCTTCCAAACGTGTATCTTTGCTGCCTGCAGTTGTACATTCTCTGGAGGTGAGATGTGTATTGATACACCACCTCCACTACTGCACATCAGGATGCACACTGAGATATGCATTGAGACACCACCTGCACTACCTCTGACTTTGTCCTTGCCATCAAATGCTTGGTTTGCAACTCACCTTCATGTGCTCAAGAGCTGCTTCAAGGTTGGCGGTGAAAAACTCAGCACTCAATTCAAGTTGGAAGACATTCCTGGTTGGGCCAGGAGCACTGTGACGGTCAACCAGATGCCAGAATGATTTGTTGGAAATCAAGTCTTTGACATGGATCTGGTGCTTAGCAGGGTCTGCTTTGACAGCTTTGGTTAAATCCTTGAAAAAAGTGACGTTGCTTTTGAACACAAGCTTGGTGAGAGCATCCTGAAACAAAACACAAGACTGTCAGTAATGTGGTTCCCAGAGTCGATGGAATGTGCCATTCTCACCTTTGAAACAATGTGTATTGAGACACCACCTCCACTACTGCACATTGGGACGCCACCTCTGACTTTGTCCCCGCCATCATTGCACAAAGTGCTGGGGGGGCAAGTTCTCAGGCTGTGAATCAGCAAAAGTCTGGCATCAGTCTCAAGGCTTATGGAGAGCAGCGCAGGCAGGCAGCAAAAGGGGGCAACCCAAAGCTGAGGAAGGAGTCCCATGTCAACACAAGCGCCTCAAGTGTCTTGTGCAACAGAGGGGTCTGGAAGCCAAGGTCTGCTCCCTTGAAGAAGGAGTTTCCTTGCCTTGCTGCACGCTTTGAGGAGCTTGCACAAATGATTGATGTCAAAGATCCTCTCCCCAGCAGCAAGGTTCAAGCGCTGATGGATGCTTATCCAGTCAGCCAACGGCGCATCACAAGTTACTGGGTTGATACCTTG